CAGTCACAAGCAAGAGAGCAAACAAAGCTCAGGGTGGATCACAACGTCACCACCCGTCTAAGCACAAACAAGAGGCCACAAGGCCAGTTCAAGAGAGTACAAGCTAATATATATGGTACAAACAAGCAAGAGGCAAGAACTCACTACTGCAGTCTACTAGACCCAGTCTCAACGAGGCCTAACTGCAGACAAAACCGGCGGTGGTCACAAGGCTGAAGGGCCTTGGTGAAGATGTCTGCAGTGTTGGCCTCGGAGGCCACGAAGTCTAGATGTGCCTGGCAGCGTCTCTGCAACTCTCGAAGGAGGAAGTACCTGACGTCGATGTGCTTCACTCTGCTCTCCAGTCGAGGCTCACGACACAGGAGAATCATCGCCTTGTTGTCAGCAAACAAGGTCGGTGCAGAGCTCGGTCGCTCACCAAGGTCAGTAAGCAAGAGAGTCAACCAGCGCAGCTCCTGTGCAGCAAGGGCTCCAGCGTAGATCTCGGCCTCTGCGGTAGAAGTCGCAACAGAGGAGGACCGAGTAGACCTCCACGAAACAGCTCCAGAACCCAGGCTGAAACAGTAACCCTGCGTAGACCTCTGAGTCTCAACGTCGTCGGCGTAGGAGGAGTCGCAGTGACTGGTGAGTACAACTGGCTGTGTCCCTCCAAGTACAAGCCCCATGTCTGATGTCGTGGCAAGGTACTTCGCCACCCTCTTAGCCGCCGTCCAGTGAACAGGACGGTGTCTCCCAGTCGCAACAAAGCGAGAAAGGATGCTAAGAGGGAAGGCGAGGTCCGGGCGAGTGCACGTCATCAGGTACATGAGGCAGCCCACCAGCTCTGCGTAGGGACCACTGGGCTCGAACGGCTCGTCAGGAAAAGGCCCAGTAACTCTGTGGTCTACAGCAAGAGGGGTGGGTGTAGGAGAGGAGTGCTAAAGCCCAAACCACTGAAGGACCTGCTGCACCATGTGTGACTGGGTCAGAGTGATGGTGCGAGCGGCTCTGTCCCTGGAGATCTGCAGGCCAAGGTAGCGGCGCAGTTCCCCAAGGTCAGTGCAGGTGTGTCTCTTCTGCAGTTCGGACTTCACCTCCGCCAGTGCAACTGTGTCGGCTGTGGCAAAAACCAGGTCGTCAACGTAGACCAGAACGAAGAAAGGTGTGCGCCCACGACGAACAAACAGCGACGGGTCGGCGGAAGACGGCTCAAACCCGAGGTCGGACAGAGTAGAGCGAAGAGTGTCGTGCCACTCACGGGGTGCCTGGCGGAGACCGTAGACCGGTCGTCTGAGGCTCCACTGGGTCCCAGGCGGGAAGGTGTTAGTGAAGCCAGATCTCCTCGTGTAGGCTGCCCTGCAGGAAGGCGGTGGAGAAGTCGAGGGAGTGTAGCTCGTAGTCTCTCTGTGCTGCTACGTGAAGTAACACCCGAAGAGTGGTCATCTTCGGGGTGGGCGCGAAGGTCTGAAAGAAGTCAACCCCCTCGCGCTGACTGAACCCTCTAGCCACGTAGCATGCCTTGAAGACTGGGGGAGATCCCGGCGGCCGCTTCACCTTGAAGATCCACATGCCGTCAACTATGTTCGCCCCTGGGGGGGGAACCTCGTCAACGTAAGTGCCTGTGGACCTGTAGGAGGCCATCTCTGCGTCCATGGCAGCTCTCCACTGAGAGGCCCAAGGCCCTAACACTGCCTCAGCGTAAGTGCGAGGAGTAGGTATGTCAGGAGCGTCGGGGTCTCCCTCAGGAGCGAGGAGCATGGCACAGAGATGAGGCGAAGCAGCTGCCAGGAACTCTAGCTCAAACTGTTTGTCCTCTAGGACGTTACCGCCAAGGGCAAACTCACCCCCGGCGGACAAAGGACCGACAAGAGGAGCGGCCACAACACGAGTGGCGTAGTCAAGGCGACGCGTAGCAGTAAAGTCAGTGACAGTGGCAGTGAGGACCGCGACGGAGGAAGGAGAGGCACGAGGGTCTGTAACAAGAGAGGCGAGAACACGAGAGAGAGTGGGGCGGTACGTGCGGTAGTAGTCAGAGACCGGAGTGGACAGGGAGGCAGTGAGGGACGACTCAGGAGGACGAGGAAGAACAGACTGAGGAGGACGAGGAGGACTAGAACGAAACAACACGGTACGGAGGTCAGTGACAGGTGACGAGGGACGAGCACGAGGAGGACGAGAGGTCCAAGTGTGGGTGAGAGGAGGGGGAGACGGAGGAGACTGAGAACGAGGGAACACAGCCGGAGCTGAGTCCGGAGGAGGAAACGTAGGACCGAACACAGGACGAGAGGAGGGGAGACCAAGGGCCCGAAGGCCAGAAACAGGGGCCGGAGGCTGCTCCGGCTGCTGTGGCTGCAGCTGCTGCTGCTGCTGCTGCTGCTGCTGCTGCTGCTACAACCTCAAACCGCTCACGCTCCAAACGCTGCTGCTCCTCAAACCGCTCACGCTCCAAACGCTGCTGCTCCTTACGCTCAAGTTGAAGAAGGGCCTGGTACTGAGTCGGGTAGGGGTGAGGAGGAGGAGTGGTGTCAGGAGACGAAGAAGAAGAAGAACCGTCTCCACCCTCGACAGTAGCCGGCTGAACACCCCCAGAGCGAGTACTCCCTGCAGCAGCACGACCAGCACCTGTAGGGGGTGTACCTGCACCCCCAGTCGTAGTGCCTCCAATCGCACCAGTACCAGCCCCAGACTCTCTAGCCCCAGAAATACCACCAGCTCCGGCACCTCCACCAGCGATAGCACCCTCTGAACGAGCAGCTGCGGCAGGTGCACGCTCAGCGCCAACGTCAACACCCCTAGAACGAGTGGCTCCTGTAGGTGCACGAACAGCTCCAACGCCAGCACCCCCAGAGCGAGCACCGCCAGAGCCCTCACCTCGAGCACCAACACCCTCAGAGTCCGCAGTGGCCGGTAAAGGAAGCGCTGACGGCTGCTGCGGAGGCTGTGAGGACGACTGTGGGGAAGGAAAAGAGACCTGGGGGGGTACCGAGGGGGGGAAGGCAGCGTGGGACACACCAGACAAAGCGGGAACAGGGGGGGGTACCGGAGGAGCAGGGGCGGGAGGAGGAGGAGCTGGAGCCAGGAAGAGGGGAGGGGGGGGAACCGGGAGACCTCGACAGGGGTACCGGACGTAGTAGGGGACGGACTCGTCGAAAAGGACGTCACGAGAGTCAAAGCACTAGTGGGAGGGAGGGTGGTAAAAGGTGAAGTCAGAGGAGTCCTCTGGGAAACCAAGGAAGACACAGGGGACGGCGCGAGGTGAGATCTTGTCCGCAGAGGTGTCGCGGACAAGAGCCAAGCAGCCCCAGACACTAAACCTCGACGCAACACCAGGGGACCCTGTCCAAAGACTGGTCGGTGAAGCCCCTGGCCGTGAGACGCGAGGCCAGAGGTTCAACTGGTGAGCGGCGTACCGAGACGCAAAGGGCCACACAAAATGGGACGTGGGGGCGTGGATCATGGAGGTGCGGGCAATCTCCATGACCAGGCCTAGGCGGCGCTCAGCAACCCCATTCTGCTGTGGAGAGTCTGGAAGAGTCCAGGACTGGGTGATGCCCTGCTCAGCACAGAATCTGGCGAGAATGCCGGAGCGAAACTCACCCCCACGGTCGGAGTGGAGACAACTGACACGACGACGGCGAGTACTCTCGGTGGCGAGCAGCCACCTGATCAGCGTGGAAGTCACGTCAGAATTCTTCGCCAAAGGGAACACGGTAGTGTACTAAGAGTAGTCGTCAACGACCACCAGAAAGAAACTCTCCCGCTCAGGGCCAAGACGGCTAGCGGGGCCCCAGACGTCTAAGTGGAGTGTCTCGAAGGGCTCAGTGGCCGGACGGAGGGAGGAGGAGTGAGGGGTGGCGCGCAGCCGACCCTGGACACAAGGACCGCACAAAGGAGCTGGGGACGGCGGGAGCGGCGGAAGGACACGGTGGAGGCCTAAGACAAGACGCTGACTGGACATAGCGCAGAGACGGGTGACCAAGACGGTGGTGCCACAGAACGGTGGGGTGGGCAAGCGACCGACACAAGCACGACGCAGCAACTAGACTGGACACGGCAACCTGACTGGACCTGGCTACCTGGTGGGACGGAGGAACCTGACGGGGGTCGGTGTGGAGGGTGTACAGACCGGAGCCCGGCTCCTGGCGAAAAGTGGCCAAGGGGGCGTACGTGTCACCGTCCACACAGACCGCGGTGTCACCAGAAGGCTCAACCCAGACCCCGACGTGCTGTCTCGCCAGGGGGCCCACACCAACCAGGTTCCTAGAGAATGTAGGAACGTGGAGGCCAGTCAGGGAACCGGAAGGAGCAGCTGGGCACGGGAGCGTAGTGGCGTGAGTCGCAATGACCGGTCCCGAAGAGGGATCGGCCAGTGCTATGGAGACTGGCGCCGGTAGTGGAGAGAGAGTCGTGCGGTCGCGAAAGAAGCACTGCGTCGCTCCTGAGTCCAGTGTGAAGGAGAGAGACGCGTCCGCCGAGGGAGCACCTGTACTAGTAGCTAAACAAGATCCTACACCAGCACCTACTCTAGCAACAGGCAAAGATCCTACGCTAGGTACAGGCAGGTACACAAATCCATGAGCACTATAGTCAACATCAGCATACATGGCATAAGACCTAGCATCATCCATAGTCATATCAAAAACAGAGATACCACGAGCAAGAAGTGTCCCCCAGCGTGGCGGCGGGGGAGCGCAGGGGTCGTGGTGCAAGCGGTAGAGGTCGTCGAGACGACTGAAGCAGCGTGCAGCAGAGTGGTCAGGGCGGCCACAGTACGAGTCCCTACGTGCGCGGACCCGTCAGGATCCAGTACTCACAGGGACCAACGTCGTGACCGGCCAAGCGAGGTCCCATTGCTCGGGAAACCTGCAGACCTCCACTGCTGCGGAGGGCCCCACTGCTGCGGCTGCGGCTGTGGCGGGCGCTGCTGCTGGCCCTATCGCTACTGCTGCTGTCCCTGCCGCTGCTGCTGTCCAGGCGGTGGCAGCTGCTGAGAAGTCGGCTGCTGCTGCTGCTGGAACCCCTCACCACCAATAAAAAACTCCACCGTCGAGAGGAGGGCCGTCAGGTCCCGAGCCACCCCCACCACCACTCCCACCACCAGCTCCACCACCACCGCCACTACCCGCACCACCCCCAGTACCCCCGCCGCCTTTCCTGCCCTTCTTACCGGCCTTGCCACGTTTCTGTCCGCCAGAGACAGAAACAGCCGCCGTCTCCTCAGAGGCAGAAGACGCGGGGGTGGCAAGGGAGGCAGTGAAGGTGGGAAGCTGTGGTACCGCACACCCCTCAAAAAGACGAGGAGGAGGCGCGGAAGAGGCAGAGGCAACAGCGAGGAGGTTACTCTCGATCTTCGAGAGAGCGGTCTCAAGAAGATCGATGGTAAGCTCAGTGGGGTGCTTCAAAAGAAGCGCGTCGTTGGCTGTGGCTAGGCGGTCAGGGATGCGACTGACTAGCCAGTGAATAGTGAGCCACATAGGGGGCGGGGCAAGGGCAAGCTGGTCCTCAGTGCAAGCAGCGCGAAAGCGAGCGTCAAGGGAGCGAAGGTGGGTAACGAGGTCAGAGACAGTCTCAAAGGAGGCGAGGTCAGGGTAGATAAAGGGTACGAGGAGGCGACTGACTGAAGTAGTGGAGGGAGTGGAGTAGCGATCAACAATAGCCTTATACAGATCTGCAGCAGACTCGACCTGAGTGAAGTGGACTGCCTCTGTCGGCGGGAGAAGGTCGGTCAGGGCGAGGCAGGCAGCGGCGTCACGAGACTCCCACACGTCGCGAGCGAGGAACAGGGGCTGGTACTCGGCCTCCTGCTCAGGAGTAGGCGGTGGGGTAGTGGGCAGCGGGCTAGGCTGCTGAAGAGCAGTCTGAGTACCGGACGCGTGTGCGAACAGGTGCACGCCATCCTGCCGCTGGCTCTTAAGGTGGCGCTGCGCCTGCGTAAGCCACGTACTAAAGTCAATCGGTCTCCCCTCAGGGTCAAAGCGAAGTACTCGGGAGGTCGCCATAAGGGGCGAAAGTGGGAGAGCGCGGCTGCCAGCCGCGGGAGGGTGAGACAGTCAGTGGCGTGTGGGCAGGCGCGCAGGCGTGAAGGCGGGCAGGCGGCACGGCATGCGGAGAGGCGGGCGGAGCGGCGCGCTGGCTGACGGGCGGCGCGGCGCGCTGGCCGGCGAGCGGCGTGGCGGGTCTACGGCGGGCAGCGCGGCGCGCTGGCGTTAGCGTTGGCGGGCGCGTTTGCGGGGCGCGCTGGCGTGGCGCGCTGGCGTGCGCGCTGGCGTGCGTGCTGGCGGGCGCGCTGGCGGGGCGCGCTGGCGTGCGCGCTGGCGGGGCGCGCTGGTATGGCGCGCTGGCGGGCCTGCTGGCTAGCTCGCTTGCGGGCCTGCTGGCTAGCGCGCTTAGGGCAAACGAGGGGGGGGGGGGGGGGGGGGGGGGGGCACACCAAGGCTAGAGGAGCCGTAAGTCTAGGAACGGCGGAGTCTAGGAACGGCGGAGACTAGGAACGGCGGAGACTAGGAACGACGGAGACTAGGTATGGCCTGGGAACGGCGAACCTAGTGCTGATACCATCTGACCTAGTGAAAACAGCGGAATGAGTTAGATTGATTGTGTTGGGGTACAAATGCATAACCCTAACTGTCTGTACACCATATAGCATGACCCACTAGAGGCTATAACATTTGACAGTTTTTGTCATGTAGTCCCACCCAAGCGTTGCTGGTACCGTAAAATTCCGGGGTTTTTTTTGTAGTTGTGGGAAAATTTCTGTCAACTTGTCAGAATTTCTTTTGATGTACAAGTTCGATTAGGTTTTTGAAGTAAAAAAAGTCTGGAAATTCAGCATTCCAAAAGAAAGGCCCGAAATTTACCTTTTTTTTTTTTTGTTTTTTTTTTTTTTTCCTTTTTAACCCTTTAGAATCAGTCAAATCAATCAAATCAGTGTAGAATTCCTGGTATATGAGGGCATGCTGTGAATAATCCCCTGAGATATCATAAATACAGGGTATTTTATCTCATTAATGTAACTTTAATGCAAGGGGATGCTAAGTTTGCATATGATACAATAAATATTTGCTGGCGTTATCCGCTTCACTTATTCGAGATTGATTCAGAGTTAAAAGCTGCGACTTTAAACGAATCCATCCGTTGTATGGTCCCTGTGGTGCGATTGGTTTTAGTTTTGCACGTCAATCCGGATTGGTCAGGACGAGCCGCAGGCTGAGGATGGATGGAAACGACACAAATCCCGCGCAAGTCGTCAATTTCATTTTCTTCTCACTTTCTCCCAAAACCTCTCGTGTCACCCACCATCTGCCTCCCCCAATCCCTGCGGTGGTGACGACGGCCCGTTGAGTGCGTCAGCTGAAATTGCTCTCGCACAAAACCGCAGCAGTACAAGGTCGCACAGTTCTGCTTTACAACACGCTTTACAATGCTCCCAGATCAAGTGCATCACACCGTGCAGGTCATCTGAGTCTAGCGGACGCCTTCACCAGGGCCCTTATTGCAGCAGCTAAACGTTGTAGTATTTCCCGTCCAAGTGTCGAGGCTTCACAAGAAAGGCAACTGTTCGCGGAATCTCACGACCGCGCAAATTGAATCGAGTTAGAAGGTCCATTAGGAAGCGAATTAGATCCACACGTTCCCGCACCATGTCGGCTGCAGCTCGAGTTGTCCGAATCGTGGCTCTCTCGTTGTGCCTCCTTCCCATTGTCTCAACTGCGCAAGGTGATACCCTGAAAACACGCCACTGTTTTATCTCTCTCTATCCCAGCATGCGAAATCTCCCCTGCCAGTTTAAACAGCACGTAAGCCTCACGCGTCTCTCCCTCTCTCGCTCCCTTGAACCCCGTGCATCGCACCGTCCTCATCAGACCGGCAACTATCTCTGCGGGGAGCATCGTCGTCGTCGGGAGGAGGCGGGTTGCCAGACGGTTCTTCGTGCCGCCTGGACTCCTCGCTTAGGCCCGCCGGGGAACCGTGCGCCGCCTCGCCCTTCGTGTCCGTGCATACCACGCTCGCTCTCACTCCTTTTTTCCTCACAACTCTCCGGGTGTCTTCAGCTTCCCTAAAGCACATTCGCATGTCCCGTGTCCTCCCCACACATATCCTCCGCACACATATCAACGCCCTTGCCGTGTGCGCCGCGCCATGGTCGTGGTGCATGGTCCACATCTCGCCGCTCAATCGTCGCTGTGTGTCGTGTTGCTGGTGTGCGCGCAGGTGCGTGGTGACGAGAGTGCCTACAGCCAAGGACCCCTTCTACAGGGGCGTCTGCAACTCCTCCTATGCTGGTATTCTCTCTACCCTCCCCACTCCCTCTCAACCTCCCCAGACGCCCGGAACTCACTCATTCTGTCTTCATCCTAATTTAAATCGCCTCCCTCCTCGTACCTACCTCCTTCCACGTCTCCTGCTCCACAAATCCACCCCTCTGCAACTCCCTTCCCCGCTCTGGATTCCACAAAATCTCTAGCCAGCGTTCGCCTTCGTTGCTGCTTCCGCCGCCTCACGCCTTTCTTATTCCGCTGCCCAGGTTCACCGCACTGCACCTTTTTCAGCCAGCCATACGCCGTGGGCACGACGGGCGTGAGCAGCAATCCAGCGTGCCACCGCTGCGACTGCAACGACCACCCCGAGAACGCCGAAGCCACCGCGCGGGCCGCAGCGTTTGCAGCCGACACCCTGTCGAAGCACGTGGGCGACACGGGCATCCTGTCCGTGTCCGCGCAGTCGTCCCTGCGCTCCATCCTCGCATCACTCGGCTCCAACACCGCGCGCTGCGACTGTCAGGTCATCGGGCCGTGCTACGTGGACTGGAAAGGCAATCAAGTGAGCGGCCCGGACGGGGTGATGTGCCCAGAACGACAGAGCCGCTGCGTGATTCAAGAAGTGGGCGGGGGCGGCGCGGACAAGCAGGGCCGACCCATAGACGCGGGAACATGCGAGTCGGCGGGCGAGCTGAACACTTGCATGGTGGCGGGGGACGGGTGGGGACCCAAGTACTATGCACACGGGGTGCAGGGACTACCGGATGCCCTGGACGAGTGCAAGCGGTGCCGCTGCAGCGATGCAAACCAGGTGGTGGGATGCGTGAAAGTGCCCAAGTGCAAGTCAGGCGGGGGAGGCGGGTGGGACGATGATGCAGCTGCTGCTGCGGATGCTGCAGGGGCAGCGGCCGTTGGCGATGTGTATGTGGAGGGGCCCAAGGCATGATAAGAACATATTCGCAGCCGTGGAACTGGTGGTAGCTCATGCAAGCATGCCACTTTGGCAAGCAATTTTCGCAGACTTAGCTCAGCAAAAGTTTACTGTGAGAAGCTCGCGAGCGCTCGTGCACCAACGTGCACGCGGAGGTACCGATATGTAGTCATAGTCACGTAGCCATGTCATCCTAGTGTGATGAATATGTACTAGATCTCTTACATTGTTCTAATTCGAAAAGCATTGCCCCACTAATACCGTATAACCCCAGATATAGGCGCATGTGCGCTTATGATAAAACCGGTTTTTTTATAGGGGGGCGCTTGTAATTGAGTCACGGCCATAAGCGCCGGCGCTTATATCATGGTAAAAAATGAATTTGTAATTTAAAAGTACCAAATCGAAGCCCGCAGTAAGGCGAACACAATTGTGTAACGTGCGCGTGATGTAATGCATGAAATCCCGCCGAAACCCACCGCGCTTCGATTCCCGACCGCACAAACCCCGTCCAGGAGCAGGGAATCTGCCAGCGCTGACGTGAATATTGCCATGCGGTCCAATCAGGGTACCATGCGGTGGCAGGCAGCTGCATTTCACCCGAACCATCGAGAAGGCGGTGGAATGACCTGCCAGCGCATCATGTTCGTGCCACGATACCCTCCTCTCCGGGTTCAGACAGGGGGTACCCGTCTCGCCCCGACGAGGACCCCGAGGCGCAAACCAGCAGGGGTCCTTTTGAATCGGTCATTTGTGCACCTTTTCTCTCGGTTTCTTGTTTCGTTTCTTCTTCACTCCCGCCTGTCTGTGGAAGCCATGGCGGAATTCAGCGGCACCCACTTCTTGTTCAAGAAAAAGCCTACTCGAAGGCCCGCGTTTACAGTAGACGCTGACGGGTGGTGCACCCGTATCCCGCCAGATCCACCAGAGCCACTACAGCCTCCTGCGCCGCCTGCGCCTCCTGCACCTCCTGCTCCTCCTTCGCCTCCTGTTCCTCCTTCGCCTCCTGCGCCTCCTCTTCCTCCTTCGCCTCTGGGTCATGTGTCACCGCAACACGCTGCCAATCAGCCCGTGCTCACGCTGCTGCTAACATCGGCGTTTGACGAATTCCTGTCAGAACCGGAGACTAACAACGCGCCGGATGTGTACGTGCGAGTGGACCACGTGCCTGGAGGACGTTGGGGACAATCCGAAGATTGCCCTTGCGACGAATCTGCAGTCGGCGCCGAGGGTGACACGGAGGATGCGAGCGGCGCTGACGGCGCCGAGGGTGACACGGAGGCTTCCGCCGAGGGCGGTGCCGAGGGCGGCACCGAGGGCAGCACCGCTGAGGATGTGTTTCCAGAAGGTGTTACGGGCGACGGTGACGACGACGGCGTTGAGTACTGGTCACGCGACGGGCTACCTGAGAAACTGCCCATACCAACGTATCCTCCGACTAATCGCAAGCGACCCCACCCCTCTTCTGAGAACCGTGATGCCCGCCCCCCCTCTCCCAGGCACAAGCTCACCGAGCACAAGCGGCAAGGTTACACCGCCGCGGAGAAGTTGAAGTGGGCAAGTCGCCTCGATGGGTCGGTGTCGGTGCGCACCTTGGCTCGCGAGAGTGGAATCCACCGCAAGTGCCTCACCAACTGGAAGCGGGCGGCGGATTTCCTCAAGGAAGTTCACTCCGCCCGGAAGCGCATGCACGGTCGCGGGCGGTCGTCGTGGTACCGGCCGATGGAGTTGAAGGTGTACGAGAAGCTGCTCGAGTGGCGCCGCAAGGGAACTGCCGTGTCAGTCGGCCGCCTGCAGGAGTGGTCGCGGGAGTTCATGAGGCTGCTGTACCTGGATAAGAAGTGGAAAGGAAGCCAGAGGTGGTCGGCGCGCTTTCGGCGTCGTTGGAATCTGAGCGTCCGCATGAAGACCCGGGTTGCCCAGAAAACCGCCGCGCATAAGTGATACCCCGTTTTACTTGCCACGTGTGTTTTGTACCCGTGTACTAACACCCTCGGTGTGTGTCCGTCCTCTTCTCCCGCCGTGCAGGTGTCGCTGAGCTGTGCCGCATGTTCTGGCAGTTCGTGCGTGACAAGCGTCGAGAGCGCGGCATCGACACCGCGTGGATCATCAACGCGGATCAGACGCCGCTATGGCTGGAGATGCCCGCCACCACCACCGTGGAGGAAACGGGTGCTCGCTCGGTGCCTATCAGGAGCGCGGGGTATCAGAAGCAGCGAGTGACCGTGATGCTGGCGTGCGCGGCGGACGGAAGGAAGCTGAAGCCGTGGGTGTTCTTCAAGCGCAAAACATTGCCGAAGGGCGACTTCCCTGCCGGTAAGTAAAGAAGTGCACTCATATGTATTTGAGTTCTTTTCTCCGCCGTGTTCTAACCACAAGCTCGTGTTTCGTGCAGATTTGGTCATGGCTTGCCACGAGAACGGATGGATGGACTCCGCGGGCGTCGTTCGCTGGCTTGAGGAGGGCGTCAAGCCTTTCTTGAAGCCTCGGTTCGGCAGACACGCGAAGAGCTCGATGCTGGTGCTGGACTCTTACCGCGGTCACCTCACCGAGGAGGTCAAGGAGAAGCTCCGCGAGATGAACTGTGTGACGGCTGTCATCCCGTCGGGCTGTACGGCGGAGGTACAGCCGCTCGATGTCTCCATCAACAAAAGTTTCAAGGCGTCGGTCCGCCAGCAGTACCAGAGGTGGTTCGAGGCAGAGGGGTAAGCGCAGCTGACCGCATCAGGTATGGCATGTGTACGGTTTTGCTCTCAAGTTTTTCTCCCCCCCGTTTTCTTTAATGCACTAACGGCTTTCAGGGAATCTGAAGAAGCCTCCACCTGAAGTCGTCCTGCGGTGGATATCTCAGGCCTGGCGGGCAGTGCCGTCCGACCTCATCACGCGCGCCTTCCTCACCTGTGGCATCAGCAACGCACTCGACGGCAGCGAGGACAACCTCGCCATGGCGCACAGGCGGACCCAGCTGACAGCGGAGGTGGATGTCGACGACGACATCATCGCCGATGGCTTCTTTGGCAACAACTGCCAGGAGCCCGAGTCTGACGAGGAGGAGGAGTAGGAGGGGTACTGGCTGATGCATGTTAGTTAGAAGTACCCCGGCTAGACTAGTTGTAGGTTAGCAACATGTTGATGTAGTTGCTATGAAAAATAGGCAGTTTAGTGAAATCAATTGTAATTCCTCCAATGTAATGTTAACGGATGCGCTTATAATAAGGATAGAAATTTCAGGGGGTGCGCTTATAATCGAGTTCCGGCCATAGGCGCCATGCTCCAGATAAAGGCGCCGGCGCCGCTAATAGGACGGCGCCTATATCCGGGGCTATACGGTATAACTAGGTGGTCTTACCATTTGTAAATTTCATAGAGAGTAGAAGGGGTCTTGTTAAAAAGTTAAGGGTTAACATTTGTACATAACTTGGGTCTTATGATATGGATTTTTTTTTTTTTTTTTAATACCGTCATACCCCGGATATACCCCCATGGGGGGGCAATAATAGAACATGTTTTTTTTAGGGGGGTGGGCTTATAATCGAGTAAATTTATAAGCGCCGGCGTTTATGTTATGACAAAAATGAAATTTGTTTTTAAATATACCAAATCGAAGCATTCTCAAAGGCGGATTCACCCAAGTCGAGAACGTTCGAAACTGTGCATGGTTTGCGCGTGAAAAGGCCAACAAGGAGTGGCTTCACGCCTTCCACGTATTCTTGGCCAGGCCAGGTTCATCGTGTTGGAAACAATTAATTATAAGCGCCTCTGTCGTGTCGAAACACCAAGTCTGAAGCGAAGCGAAGTATATCGAAGCACCGGCGAGTCAACCCTCGGAGGTTGAGCAGTTGCTGGAGGTTACGCGAAAGTCAAAGGTCAGCGACCTTTGACCTGACAAGTACAGCGCGACAGCAAGGACACACAACTGACTCGCTACAGAGCAGTTGCCCGAGTCGACACTGTATCGAACCGCAACAGCAAACAGTAAAACAGTTATAATTGCATCCTTTCATATTCCTTGTACTCTTGTATAATCTTGTATCTCCTTGTTTTAATCAATCTACTTTGCCCTCACATACTAGTGCAAGGTGGTTAAACTACTTCATTAAACGCTTCCGCTATTACATTGTTCCTACCCAGAGTTCACCCCTGCAAAGATCCTAAGGGCTTTTTCTCAGCCCAACATGGTATCAAAGCTATCAAGGGGAATTCAACTACTATCAAGTCACCTACAACATCAGAAGACATGGCAACATACAAGGAAAGGAGTTCCTCTAATGGTTCTCCCGGCACTACTCCTACTCCACCTCCTGCCTCTGGACTGCAAACAGAGGAGGGCATGGCAACAAGACCAACAGCAGCACCCTCAGAAACTCCAGCAAGTCAACCTGCCAACTTCGACCAGAGCATGATGGAGAAGTTCTTCTCCTTCATGTCCTTCTACGAGCAACACCAGCAGTCGGCACCTGCACAGTCAAACAACAGCAACAACAACAACGATGTGACTCCCATGAGTCTCGACGGCTCATCGTACGCACGTGGAAATCAGCAACAGCAGCCTACCTTTGCTCCGTACGAGCCCCAGCGCAGCTCCATTAGCTTCACGCCACACACGCAGCCTTCACCTGGACAGGAGAAGACACTGGACGCGCTTCAAGTCCAGTCGCAATTCGCGCACGTCTTAAAGCTGCAGACGTCAAGGCCCTTCGACGGAAAAGACTTTTTCACCTGGTCCTTCGAATTCGAGCTGATGATGGAAGGCGCGCAGATTCTCTGCTTCTTCGACGGGTCCCTACCATACCCGACACACGGCACACAGTAGGACAAGTAGCAGTACACGTACCAGTCAATGATGGCGTATACGATTCTACTGAGGAACATCACGCCGAATCAACAGCAGAATATACGGTCTTACCGGGGATACGGCAACTCCGCCGAGCTCGCATACAGCCACTTGAAGAGCCTGTATCAAGCAACAGACAGTGTCAATCAGAGTCGGTTAATGACACAGTTGACAACAGTTGAAATGAAACCAGGAGAAAAGGGGATGGCGTATATCAGCCGCTGTCGCGAACTGCGCGACAAGCTTCTTCGATGCGGAGGGACAATATCCGAAGACGCCTTCGTTGTTGGTGTAAGGGCCTAATAAACTCAAGCTATTAGGACTTAATCAAACTTAAAACCTCTCCTCGGGGTCACCTCCAAGGGTCCCTGGGTGCCTGGTACAAGACCAGCCCCTATCCTCGGGTCCGAGTTTGTAGAGAGAGGGATCAAGAAGGACTTAGTCAAAACAGCAAGAGTACCTTGAACGTCACGCAGCGTGCCGTGCAGACCGTCGGTCGGATTAAGCTGAGAATTCGCTATATCGAAGCTCGCTCCAAGAGCTTTAAAATGAGCCAAGTTGCCTCGCGAAAAGTTCTGCCATTACTAAGTTATGGCTCGGACAGCGTTTGCCTAGCGTTGGAGTGCTAGCATACTAGCGTTGACTCGGGTAGCATTCCGCCGTCGAATAGCGCAGAAACGAAATTCCAGCGAGGAAGGAATTCGCTTGAATCAATTTGACTATATTCAGGTACAAACAGAGAAGGATTAAATAGTTCTAGCTAGCAAGGACCTTGGGAATCAACCTGGGAACAACCAGGGATGATCCCAAATAATTCCAAGCAACAGAACCAACCTGGCTGGACAAAATAGCAGGTGGTAGGTTGGTAAACAACCTCTGGTTCTGTTTTTCCAACCTGGGAAAACAACAACCAGGTTCAGGTTCTAAAAACAGAACCTGTTTTGTCTTTGCCCAACCAGCCAAATGCTGGTTCCGCTGGTTTCCCCTGGCCTTGTAGCATGCAGATACAGACAAACAACATCCAACCTTCACCTAAATTGTACCCCTATAGTGCCTTCCCTGCTACACTATAGTTAACCAAACAAAACAGTACAATTCCGAGTTGGATAGAACTGAATCTGCGCAATCAACTCAACCGAACTGCAAAGCTTCCATCTTGGGTTCCTTTGCGAGCTCGTCCTTTCTGCTTGCACTGTTCATAGCGCATACAATGTTGTGCCGAAGCGCACATTGCGCGAGTACCTGCAAATGCATCAAGCAAAAAATGCGAAAGCAAACAAACACACGAACACACCATTCACACGCAAATGCATTCGCACACGCATACTCGTACAAACAGACGGCAGGATGTCGTGCAATGTGCATTTGCACCCAACACACTCCCCCTCAGCCTGCCGGCTGCATCCCCGTCATTCCATGCTAGTTCATGCTCATTCCACTCATGCGCACACAACGCCAATGAGGCTCATCCGCAAGCCTCTTGGTGAGAAAGTCTGCTGGCTGCTGGTGAGTCTTGATGTAGATCGGATGCACCGTCCCCCTCTTCACCTCCTTACGCAGCCAGTGCCACTTGATACGCATGTGCTTGTTCAGCCCATGAAGCACAGCGTTTCTGGCCATCCCAAGAGCCCCCTTGCTATCACAAAACAGCGGCGTAGCAACTTTCTGCTCCTGGCCAATCTCCTCTAACAGCCTCCTCAGCCAAATCACCTCCTTCACCCCATGGAACATCGCCATGTACTCTGATTCTACGGAAGAGAGTGCCGTCTCCGTCTGCTTCTTGGACCTCCAACTAACAGGTCCTCCCCCAACTACGCAGATGTATCCTCCCACAGATGAGGAATCCTCCTTCTCAGAAGCCCACGTAGCATCGGTAAAGCAAGTGAGAAATAGCTTGCCTTCTCCAAGCCTCTCCCCCTTCTCTTTCAGCACCTCCACCCCTTTCTGCTTCACCTGTGCAGATGCGGAGTATTGAACTCCAATGCTTGGGTGAGAGTTCAGGTACTTCACCACACGCTCAGCTGCATCCACCTGCTCCTCTGATGGATTCTGCACCACCCTAGCCAGCTGCCCAACCGAGAAAGAGATGTCGGGCCTCGTGTGAACTGCTGCGTACAAGAGGCTGCCCACCAAGGACTGAAATTGCTGCTGCTCTTCAGCTTCAACCCCTTCATCCTCTGCAGCCTTCACAAGCTTGAATTCTGCTGGCAGGGGAGTTGCAACCTTGCGCTCATTCTCAATCCCATACTTCTCCCCCAGCTCCTTGATGAACTTCTCCTGGTGCAGCTTCAACCACCTGTGATCTGGATCCCTCTCCACGTGCATCCCGAGGTAGTACTTTACCTCCCCAAGGTTCTTGCACTTGAAGTTTTCCATCAGTTGCTGCTGCACTTTCTGGATCTCCTTCATGCTGCTGCTGAAGAGAAGAATGTCGTCCACATAGACCAGAAACAGCACCAGCTTCTCCCCCTCGCCCTTGAGAAAGAGGCTCTCATCACAGCTGCTGGTCCTGAATCCCATCTCCTCTAAAACAGCTGCCAACTTCTGGTACCAGCAGCGTGGCGCCTGCTTCAAGCCGTAGATGGACTTGTTGAGCTTGCACACCCTGCCCGTACCATCCTCATACCCAGGCGGCTGCGTCATGTACACATCCTCCTCTAAAATCCCATTCAGGAATGCCGTTGAAATATCCATCTGAATGATGAATTTCCCACTAACAGCTGCATCTGCCAACAAGACACGGAGGGTAGGGGGTTTGGCAGTGGGAGCAAAGATCTCGTTGAAGTCCTGCTTCTCCTTCTGCATAAACCCCTTCGCCACCAGCCTACTCTTGTAGATGGTGACCTGCCCCTTGTCATCGGTCTTGATCCTCAGCACCCACTTGCATTGTATCGCTTTCTTCCCATCAGGCAGCACCACCAGATCCCATGTCCTATTCTCCAGCAGACTCTGGTACTCAGCATCCCTAGAAGCCAGCCACTTGTCCCTATCTGGTCCAGCTAATGCCTCCTCCATGCTAGCTGGTTCCTCTGGTGCAGGGGCAAGAAAACAGTACGCAGGCTCATCCTCCTCATCCGGGTCATAGCCATGAGGTAGAATTAGCAATGCCTCTTCGGTCCCTAGCTGCTGCTCTGCTGCATCAGTTCCTGCAGTCAGCTTCTTAGTAGCCATACGGGTACGTCCTGGCCTGGAGACGGGTGTCTCCCATCCCTTCATAACGACTCCCTTCGGCTTCTTAGTTTTTCCCTGCTGCTTCTCTCCTCCCTCGGGTCCAGCAGCTCCACTAGTGCTGCCGCCAGTTTCCACACCATTTTCTCCACCAGCAGATGCCTCCTGTACCTTCTCTCCATCACCATTTCCAGCAGCTGCCTCCTCTCCCTCCTCCCACACACTAGGAGTCAGGTCCAGCTGCATGGTGATCTGCTCCATCTGCTGGGACACCCTTGCCTCCGGCTGTTTCTCCCAGCTCCCATACATCATGCCCTCAATGAATTTCACATCCCTGCTGTCAAACAACA